CCGAATTTGCAGATTAGCGTAAACATTGCCGCTGACAGGCATTTAAATGCTGAAAATCATAATTTTTCCATGCCCACGTAACAATTGAGGCAATGCAGTGATTATGAGCACCTTTTTCTACCGGACGAACTATTTATACAAAAACAAAAATTACATATAAGCGCATAAAGCAAATGCAAAAAAAAAAAACGATTAAATAAAATTCAAAGAATTTTACTGTTATGCAACACAACACAGTGAAATACAATAAACATAGAATATATTTCTTATAAAAAATAAACTAAAAAGAAACGCTTTTGCAACATGCAATTTTTTTTATTTTCGTTTCTTCTTTGGCTTAGCGCAAGAACTCTCCGATTTCTTCCGGACACTGGACACTGCGGCAGCCGGCTCTTTTGTTGTCTGAAATTGTTGCAAATCGGCACAAAAAAGCACTGCTTGTGCCCAACCCGCATATGGGCCGTAAACGTTGCGAAAATGATTTGCAATTTCATCATAAATGCGCGGCGTCACAGTTTTCACCTTCGCCAATTGCTGTTGCATGTAAACAGTTTGTGCAATTTTATAAATGTGAGTATCGATGGGCACAGCCTCCAAGTGACCCAGTGACATAAGACAAATACAATCGGCAACTTTGTAACCAATACCAGGTAGACGTACTAGTTCGTTGCGCGCATCTGCGTAGGACATGGCGCGAAGTTTGCCAAACCATGCTTTGCCGCCAAACTCGTCAATTTTGGCAATTGTTTGTGCGATAAATTTTGCACGATAGCCAAATTTGGCTTCCCGCAAGCTGAGTTCCAGCTGAAATTGATTTTTTTTTATACTCGTAGATGTACAATTTTTTGAAAAAAACATTAATATAATTGCAAGCTTTTATACAAACCTCCACTTGATGCTCTCGCAAAACTGATAAACTTGGAAATGTATACTCTTCGCGTTCGTTGAAATTTCCAATACGTTCACCATATTTGGAGCAAAGCCAGTCAACCATTGAGGAAATTCTAGAAGCATGGAAGATATATAAAAATAAATACCAGAAGATTGGAGTCGGTTAAGGCGTCTCGCACAGGGGTCAAACTTCAGATAACCCTATGAAGACATCTTAACCGACTCCAATGGAGACCAAAATTTATATGTGATGTCTTCGACTGTGGTAGTATCGATGATGGGTATTAGATAAAAAAAATTTATTTTTATTTTTTGATTTTCCATTGAGGAAACTGAATTTTGTCCCTGCGCGTAACGACTTAACGGTCTCCAACCGGGACCAAATTTTTAATTTAATTTTTATAATAAAATTTTTTACTGAATTAATGATACAATTTCACTAAATTTCTCGGAAACTAAACGGAAAACGATATTTGGAAGAACTTGTTAACCAGTAGTTAACTGCATTATTGACTCAATTTGGCCCAATTTAACGACAAAATTTGACTCAGTATCTCAGGAGATATCCTAAACAGATAAAAACGGATAACGATATTTAAATAAGCTTGATTAATTTGTTACTGCATTATTAACTTAATTTGGCTCCATTTTCCCATGACATTTATTTATCCGGACGGCGACATGTGTAGATTGGTCATACGTCAACCTAAAGTTACTCTTTGGGCTCTCGTCTCCATATATATATACATAAGTAGCCACGAAATATAAAAGAAACTCTCAAGCATTTTGGCGAACCGATTTCGAAAAAAAAAGTTTATTCTCCTTTTGACATTTTTCGGTGACATTTTTAGGTGATGACTACCCACTAGAACTTGAAGGGAGATCTCCCAATGTGAGGAATAAAAGAGTACTCATTTTGGCCTGATTTCGGAGCAATAGGGGAGATTTATTGGTTCTGACCTCCTTTA